AAAAAAACAGAAGTCAAAAACTGCCATAACAAAATAATAATGCAATATGTGCTAGCATTGGTCAAACCTTCTAAATAGGGATGCAAGGTATACACGTTGAGATACTTCACTGATTTTTTTTTTTTTTTTTTTTGCAAATTGCCCAAACTGGATCCTGTAAATGCACTATTTTGATCACTCAAATAGCATTCTTCAAAGCCCATTATATAGGAATTAACCATATAGCCTTGAGGATTCTTGTTTGATCACTCAAATTACCCACCTTGGATCCTTATATACACTGCATTATTTTGACTGTTCTTTTTATTTTTTCATCATATGAATGAAATTATTGTATTAGTAGCAATATTTTAAAATCCAAAGTGGACGTCAAACTGTTTAGAAGTGGGTGGTTTGTACAGCCCATCAAAATTGCCTATAAAACAGGATCAAGCTGTTTAGGTCACTGGTTTGATTGCCGAATCCAATTCAGGCTTTGAAAGATTTAGAAGGGGCAATGGGCATGTGCCATCTACAAAATGCATAAACAAAATGTGCATTTAGAATGTTGGTTGAGTAACACTGGTTGACCAGGATCAAATCTAAGCATTGTTCACATCACTGTGATTGAGTAACACAGTTTACAACCAAAATTTATTATTCATCTAACCCATGTTCTTATAGAGGGTTTCTTTCTCTTTGTAGTATTACAGTTGCAACCTGCAATTGAGATTATGGATTATTTGTTGATATATCATTGATAGGAAGATGTAAGATGAACCTAGGTGAATTGGAGTGGAAGGGTGTGATGGGAGGTGCCTTATTTTTATATCTAATAAGGAGTAAGACTGTACTTAATGACCTCCTCACCTGTTCATTTAATTTTCTACAAATCAGTTACAAGAAGCAACATCAATTACGATATCAACCATGTGAATAGAAAATTTAAATTACCAGAAACTCCTGTCATTTACTATCTTCGAATTATCAGTATTTATTCATCCCACTAATTCTTTCTTCAGAACCAAAGGATTTTTTCTTTTATTTCTTTGGATGTGATTCTCTGCATCATTTTTATTTATTTAAAAAAAATTAAAATTTATATACTAATTACATAAATAGATCATCAATATCTTCCTTTGTGATTCAAGATAATTTGATCTATACTTCACTCTGCATGTTATTTGATGCACAGGCATTTAAAGCATTACTGACTGCTGAAAACTCAGATGAACAACTTTGTGCTCTTGGAGAACTCATGTATCAGGTACTTATTCTTCTTATTTACAAATTATTTCATTTCATAGTGAAAATAAACCTGATGTTTCGTATTCCATTATGAATATTGGCATGTCTTCATTTAAGTTCCAAAATGTTCCTCAGTATTGCCAGTTGTCTTTGAAATTTGACCATTTAAGATTGTTGTGGCAGAGAAAACTTCTCTTACTTATAAGTGCATCTCTGTATTGCAGTGCCACTATAGCTATAGTTCTTGTGGACTCGGTTCAGATGGAACAGACAGGCTTGTAAAATTAGTACAAGAAATGCAGCACAGTAAATTGTCTAAATCCAAAACAGGGACTTTGTTTGGAGCAAAGATCACAGGTGGAGGTTCTGGCGGGACGGTTTGTGTTATAGGAAGAAATTGTCTGCGCAGCAGCGAACAAATTCTTGAGGTAACTATCCTACATCACAGTCGTCAATGTTGAAGAATGAGAAGAAATTGATCTGTTTATGACTTCCATCTGATATTTATCATCTGCTTGCAGCACTATCCAGCCTGCTAGTGTGCTTGGATTCTTTATACACTTGGTCCAAATGGATTAACTGTTTCTTTATCCGCAAATCCTGCCACTATATTTGATTAGGAAACCGTACTGAAGTGGTTCTTTTGTCTTCTTTTTCTTCAAATGTGCTCTAACTTTTTTTTTATTTTTTGAACCTTCAGATTCAACAGAAATACAAAGATGCCACAGGCTATTTGCCATTTCTTTTTGAGGGTTCTTCACCAGGTGCAGGAAAGTTTGGTTATCTGAAAATTCGTCGGTGTGTGCTTCCCAGCTTAAGTTAGTATATTTAATTCACAAACAAACATTAATTTAGAGAAGTAAATAGTTATCTTAGATCCTAGATGCTAGGCACTTAATAAATTATAAATGTATTGATTAACTCCAGTATGATTCAATGAAATCCCCTATGGGTCTCTCTCTCTCTGTGGCCGGGGGGAGGGGGGATAATAACACAGAAAACAGGTAAGATGATTCTCACGAGATGGGCTTGGCCTTTGACTTACCATTGTCTGATATTCCTCCACTGTGTATCACTAACTACATAGGTGATGGATCATAGCTACTACTCAGTCTATTAACAATGATTTTCTGTTATGCTGAAGAACGAAGCAGCATAGGATGCCGTCCTACAATAAACAGGGTTGACCATACATGCTCGTTGTTCATGTATCCAAAAACAAAAGCTTATTTTTAAAGAGCCTGTTATCTCTGCCAAACAACCATTATTGCAGGCAAGGTTCAAAACATCACAATGCACCAGTGCTTATCGTTTACAGTGTAATTTTTAAATTTGGCAAACTGAAAAAATAAAAAATAATAATAAGAGCATCAATTAAAACATTGATAAAACTCTTATGTTCATAGATTTATTAATGGATTCACAGATTCATTACAATCATTATACTAGATTCATAGATTTATTAATACGTTAAATCTAAGATTGAAATAACTACGAAAGTATGAAGTAATACATTACAATCATTATAGTATCGGAGAAGCTTTACTTAGGCTCAATAAACATACTATATTGCTTTTTACATTTTACTAAATGCTTTAAAGACATTAATTTAAGTTAAATCATTAATTAATAGTTGCAGAAATATATAATTAATCTACAAAATATGTTATCTCTGTATGAAAGTAGAAGACCCAAGAAACCAAGAGCAAGAGTTCATGACAAAGATTGTATACAATTGATGTACTTTAATTACTGAATTAATTATTCTATAATTTTTTTTTTTACTTTTATATATTGTCATGATGGGTTTGGATATGATACTGGAAAAACTTAGAGCCAAACAATAGGTATCATAAAAGAGGTGACCAATCAGGTGGTACTCATCAAAATTCATGGGGTACTTTGATTGTTCAGAGCTCTTCCGGTACCATGTCCTTCAAAATAGTTTTACTTAAATTCTTAATAGTTAATAGCTTGATGGCTATATAGTTCCTTAAAAACGGCCATGTAAATTAAGTTAATTTTGAAAGTAACTTTTATTTTAGTAATTAATAATAAAATACACATCATGAATAGTAGCAAGTGAGGAAAGCTACCAAAACAAAGGGGGTATTGTAACATGAGTGAAAGGTTTGGGAAAAATAAAACTAGAAAACCAATGAAAATTAATGAGGGCATTAAAATCATGAATTTCCCTAAATTTTTATAATTATTCTATTTCTTTAAATCACTAAAAATAAAGTTACTTTTTTTACATAAATTGTTGTTAGTGCAATGAACCCTATGATAATCCAAGCAAAATCTATGGTGCACTATATGGAAATTGCTGCAGCATAATTCAAACATAAATTAACCAGTAGTAAATATGTCATTGTCACATCTTTAAAGTGATTAAAATCTAATTATAAATGCATATTACATACTGTGAAACATGAACCAAACCATGTGGCATTTTTAACATGATTGATTAAAATGTTGATCCACTTTAAAAATCATGTAGAATGGCAACTTAGGTATTTAAAATGTCTATTCTAGTACATCACATAATTGATATGGGCATTTTCCACCCATTTGTTGATGGAATGCTAATATAGGTATTTATTTACTTAACTTTTGATAGTTAAATAAATGAATCATTGGGGGGAGGGGGTAATTGGAATTTAATCCTTGTATTTTTTTGGAAAAAAATTGCGATTAGTATCCTGTACTTTGGGCCTAGTGTACGTCAAGTAGCTGTTAAGTGGCATTTGAAAAAGACACAAATGTCTTTCAAGTGTCATCTAATTTTCTTTATCAACCATCCAAGCGTTGACAAAAAATTAACAATCCCAAATCTTTGCTTCTTTTATTTAAGAAAGTTGGGATCTAGAATTGCCCACTAAGACGCGGCCCCAACTTTCTTGAATAGAAGAAGCAAAGATTTGGGATTGTTAATTCTTTGTCAACATTTGGATGGTTGATAAAGAAAATTAGATGACACTCAAAGGGCATTTGTGTCTTTTTCAAATGTTGCTTAACGGCTAGTTAACAGCTGGTTAACTGTAGGTACCAGATTGACACATTTTGAAAGTTTGGGTACTGAATTGTCGCATTTTAAAATTCGGAGACCAAAGTGGCGCTAGGCCCAAAGTATAAAGTACTAATCAGGAATTTTCCCTTTTTTACGGGACTTACCTAAGTCTTCACCGGAGGTGACCAAGCTCGCTCTTAAATAGACTTCAAAAGTTATCTAACCATAACCTAAGTATTAAGATTAATTGATAAAACGAAACAAAATCTATTTTACCTAATTTATGACTTCAAAACTATTTTTAAAATTACAAAATTGTTTTTCTTCCACGGACAAAGGTAAAGTGCAATTGTTAAGTCTACTTCCTTGACCCATGATTGAATGAACTTTTTCTTTTATATTTTAAGGTTTTTTTTCTTAAATAATATTGTGTATGGCATCATTGCTGTTTTTACTTATAATTACGCTTGGGAATAAGATATTTTTCTGTTATTTCTAGTGGAACATCATATTTGAATTTATGTTGCATTCCCCAAACATAATGTCAAAGAACATCACCCAAAGTTTTGAATTTAAAATAAATGAAACACTTGTTTCGATCAGTATAAATAATGAACAGTCTTCCATATGTTATGTTGTGCCAAAGTATTTCTTGTTTGGTTGCAGTTCAATCTTAAGAGCATTAGTACAAATGCATGGACTTGCAAATGAAAAGAATGCAATTTTTATTTAATTTTGTTTTAGGTTCTATTTCAGGTATTATTTCTTTCATTTATATTGCAATCAAACAAAACAAGGAAAATTTTGAAACAAAAATAAATCAGAATTTACACTCGGATCATTTGCACTATCATAATTTTGCATCAATACAAATTTCTTTGCATTGCAACCAAATGCAATCTTATGAGTATTCTAGACTTGTTCATTAGAAGCTATCATCTACTAATGGTGGAGTAGGGCACAAAATAAAAGTTGAATTGAGTTGAGTTGAACTCCATTTAGGTCTACTAGCCAAAATAAAAGTTGAGTTGAACTCCATTTAAAACTATTTTTAAAATTACAAAATTGTTTTTCATGCCTACATACATACATACATACACCTCCCCAACCCTAATGGTAGCGGGATTCGATCCCAAATTTATGTTCGAAATGATCATATCATTTTTTTTAAGAAGCTTGTGGGCAATTTCATTAGACTCTACTGAGAAACAGAGGGGTTGTGCCTGGAAAATCAAGTAGTGTATCCAAGTAAAAGTGCAACTAAGAGATAAAGCTTTTCGAGCTATGGCATGTGCCGCTTAGTTCGCAATATGTGGGACAAAAGATACTGAGCAAGATGGAAGGCTGGCAATGAGAGTCCTGCTAATATAGTATGAAGCCGCCATGGTAGATCAAAATGATCATCCAATAAAAATTGAACAATATTCTTAGCATCACCTTCAATAATCGAAGAGGAAATATGTAAATCTTCAGCAAACAGCAAACCATGAAGAAAAGCTATGGATTCAGATCCCTCAAGAGTTCCATAGTGGACAGGAAGGCCTCTAGCAAACAAAAAATGACCACAATGGTCTCTAGCAATCAATCCAATTACAATAGTAGAAGAGGATATATCGCTACTTCCACATTAATTTTAACTACACCAATTGGAGCTCCACACCATAGACTCTTAGGTGGATCAATAGAAGCTTCAAGCTGATCAATAGTGGTATTTGCCTTGGAGACAATACTAATAGGATTTAAAGGAACTTCCTCAAATAGCATATTCGTTTCTAACCTTCTATATATGCTTTATGTAAATACTCCCTTTCAAAAATAATTCATTTACTTAATCAACCATTGTCTTGGCATGTTACCACCAAAAAATAAACATGTCCAAAATATTCAATAGTGAAATGTCATGAGATCCAAAATTAATAGAAGATAGAACCAAATAGCTTTTTCTCTTGGGAACAACACAAAAAGCTAGATCATAGACTCTATGGCTTTATGACTGTTACAAAACTGATCTATACTGGTTTCAACTCTAGATTAGCAGGGAATAATAGTAAGAGAGAGAGAGGGAGGAGAGAAGAAAGAGAGAATAACTGGTTCAAACTAGAGAAGAAAAAAGATCTCTCTCTCTCTAGTCGGCCAAAGACAGTTATGCCCCAACTTAAGTATGGGACACAACACTTAAAATGAAAACATAACAGACATTACACCTCACTCTTAACATAAAACAAAATGACCAACCTACCTCTACAATTGACTCTAACACTCCCCTCAAGTTGGTGAGTATATGTCATATAGTCCCAACTTGTTATATATGTAATCCACTCTTCCCCGACTTGAACCTTTAGTGAACAAGTTTGCCCATCGACTTCTTGTGTTTACATATGTAGTACTTATCACTCCACTGAGAACCTTATCTTTCACAAAGTGACAATTAACTTCTATTTACTTTCTTCTTTCATGGAAAATTGGATTGGAAGAAATATAGACTACAACTTGGTTGTTACAATATATCTTCATAGGAGTATCAATCGAGTACCCCATAAGATGTTCTTCAACCATACTAATTTACATGTAGTGTGTGTCATGGTTCTATATTGAACTTCAACACTGCTTCTTTCCACCACTCTCTGCTTCTTGTTCTTCCATGTAACCAAATTGCCCCCCAAAAAGATACAATACCCTGTAGTAGACCTCCTATTAGGTATTCAACTGACCCAGTCAACATTTGTTTATCCCTCTATCTCAAGACTCCCTCCATTCTTATATAACAACTCATGACTTGGAGTTATCTTCAAATACCGTGCAATCCTTATACATCCCAATGTAGAATCCGAGGATTTTGCATAAACTGACTCACCACATTAATTACAAATGATATATCTAGTCAAATAATGGTTAGGTAATTCAACTTATCCACCAACCTCCCATACCTTCCAAGATTTTCAAACTTTTCACCTACATCACTACTTAATTTGACATATACCTCAATGGGTGTTTCAGCTGGTTTGGCACCCAACAATCTTGTCTCCTTTAACAAATCAAGAACATACTTCATTTGGTATAGATTAATACTGCTTAAATACCTCTATCTCCAAGAA